CATCCTTTCCAGGAAATCCATCCAGCTGGATCGCTTGACATCACGGATTTCTTGTCGGCATTGGTTATGTAGTTCATGGTTGTGACAAAGGGCCTCCTCTCAGTCGCTTTACACGTCGAAGTGCCTTGCGCCGGGCTTTGACTGCCTTGCGCCGGGCTTTGACTGCCTTCTTCGTATCTTCATTCCACCAGCGGAGGGCTTTTCTCCCTGGTACGCTGCTGGTCTTGGGGATGGTGGCCGTTGCTGCTTCGTATATAGCGTCCGAGAGGTCCTCGATACTGTCCGGGTTCCGGCGCTGTCCGCTCATCAAACTCCAAATATCACAGCCAAGATTGTTCGTAGCATATATTCGCTTTGGCCATCGCTGGAGAAAGCCATCCGTTCGGGTCGAAAAGCCTTGACGATTCCGAAAGAAGCTGACACTTGGTGACACCTGCCTCATACGGAAGTCAGACCTTGAATGTAAGGACATCCTCATCAGGTAGCCATTGTCCGCCAAGTATGTTGACTATACGTTTCGTTCTCCGTTGAGTTCCCTAATAAAATAGTTATGGTTATTTAGCTTAACGACGTGTTCTGGGTATAATCCAAACCATTTGTGGAATGGTTCAATCATTTGGGTTATCATTCGTTTATGGTACTTTTTTATTAGGGTTGCAGCGGCATCGCTTCTACACCAATTTCGGAAACACCTTCAAGCAATTCAGGTTTAAATATTACAAGTATTAGACGAAATACGCGTCTATGTCAAAGATAAGCAAATAAGGCAGTGGAATTAAATGGAAACTACTAATCCTTCCCTCTTTCTTTATATCTACTGGTATTCCACTAATACGCCTGTGGTGGCAAGATGGAAAGACCCCACTTTCGGTAGAAACGATATTTCTTCTCAATTGAACGTTGCTTAGAGAATTGAGCAAATGGGAGAACTAGCAAGTAGGGTATTAAAGTATGCCATCGATGATAAATAAATCATTAGTACTTTGAAGACAACCGAGACCAGTCTTGTTAAAATTATTCCGAAGAACGTCTGCCTTTATCAGTTTATCTGTCCAGTTCAACGCCCACATTCATCAGGAAACATACAAACACCTCAGTTCAGGTTTGTCAATCGCCCATTTTCACAAGTGAAAACTGGCGCTCTCTAAAATTTCGATGATTTGTTGACGTAGCGTACTCGCTTCTTCCAAACTGTTTGCACCTGTCATCGAATCGTCCACATACCTATCCTTGATGATCCGATTAGCTGCTTCCAGATGATGCCTTCGTATTCTTTCGCCACATGCACAATTGCTTCCATCGCTATGGGTACGCTGGACATGCAGTACCGTATGTCACCGGTCAGTAGTCGATAATATCTGATAGCATCGTTATCACTGAATCGTCAAACTACTCTCAGGTAGTTGATGTCCCGCCAGTTAACTAGTACCTGTCTTATTACATCGGCAACAAAGACTACGTTCGGAAACGGAAATGGACAACCAACAAGTCTGGCTTGATCCAAAATCTAGTTAAGGGAAGAAGGGCGAGATCCGCCAAAGACCACTCGCAATTTAGTCGTGAGATTGTCATCCTTTAAGACTGCGTGGGATGCGTTCCATGTGACCTAGTTTGATATACTCTCGTGCCTCTTGAACTATTCATCCCGTTCAAATCTTCGTTCCATTGGCGTTGACGAGAGCTCTGTAACTCTTTACTCCTATGGAGAAATCTCATATGTAACTGTCAGTCTATGTGTGAAACATGGCGGACTTTTTCTTATTCTCTCACGCCAACGCAAAACCCCATAAGGAACTGTCAAAATGTGTATAAAGAAATGTCACTTCGGGACTGGTGTCAAGGTGAATTGAACAGAAACGACGTACAGAAGCAAGAAATCGGATTCACCGATTTATTGCTTCTTCTCGTTGGAAGGTAGCCGTACCTCAAAACGATCATTTTCGCTTCGCTGATGGGTTGCCTCGACTCGAAGTATTCCACCACTCGTTGTTCTTCAGGGGTGAATGAACCGCCGTTCGCAGCTCTTCGGACTCCCAGAACATCCGAAGTGTATTGTCGACATTGACTTCACTGCAGAGACTGATAGCTAGTTGTTCGCTGTTTGTCTTGTCACCCAGTCTGCCGGAAATGATCCGCCGAAAGCCGGCTTCGGAGCCACGGATTGATTGTTGATATCCATGACTTATCCATCACGAATCACCGAAAGGAATACGTCAGCACCCAGAATCACATAGATGGGTCCTGATTTGGGATGAAAGAGAGGATCTGCTAGGTTTAAATTATACAAACACCTCAGCTGAGCTTGCCTAGCTCCAAGCGCGGCATGGGCGCTGTTAGCCGTCCAAAGATGTAAGCATCAGTACGTAGAATCACCGGCTCACTAAATCGCGACGAGATAAAGAGTGACGACTAGTCTCGCATTTCGCTGTGAAATTGCCAGTTGCATCGGAAAATCTTGGCTGATAAGTATCACTTGCGATGCGACCCCGAATCGATGAGTGCACGAGCTTCGTGGAGCTATCCGTTTTCGCCCCTGATTCTCACCACTGCTGTTGGTAGCATGGTAATCGACACCATCAAAAATACGCTGACACTTGTGAAGTGACAATTGTCACCTCGGGTGAGGTGACTCTCCGTGCAAATCAAATGGAGAGTCACCTCACCCGAGGTGACAATTGTCACTTTACCATCACTTCACTGTCACCTCACCTCACACGCCGCGTAGAATAGGCATAATTCTTAAAACTTCACCAAAAAATTCAGCAAAATTCAGAGAACTTCAGGTGCGTCCAATTAACCTTACAATAATAGCAAGAACTTTGCAGATGTTCCAAGAACAAAGTACAGAAAGCTTCAAAGAAGTTACTAGTCCCAAGAACGTCAGAAAAACTGGGGGGAACTTAAATGAAATTCCAAGAAGTTTTGGAAAATTTTGAGAACTTTATGTTAGTTCCATTAACAATAGAAAAATTACGAGAACTTTCAGGAAGATCTGAGAAGTTCATGGAAATTCCGAAAACATCAAGATCGTCAGAACGTTCAGGACGACATAGAAGTTTTAAGATCTTTGGGGTAGGTTCCGATAGCTTCAGGGCAATTCCATAGATTTCACGAAAGTTTCGAGAACTTTAGTGAAGATCCAAGAGCTTCAGAGCAGTTCTATTAAATTCAGGAAACTTGCTGCACTTCAGGAGCTTCCACTGCAAAAGCTTCAGTTGAGTTTAAGTTAAGGGGTAGTTTCATGATTATCAGGAAAATCAAGGGAATTTCAAGAAAATTCCGAAAACTTCAGGGAAGTTCCGAGAACTTCAGTTGAATTTTGAATTCTTTCGGGCAGTTATATTAAGATGTTCCAAAAATGAATGCAAGTTTAGAGAACATTTCAAGCGTAACATTTGAAAACGGCACAAAAGTTGTAAGGCCCTTTACACGCGAATCGAAGTACGCCCACGCAAACCATCTACATCATCGGTGTAGAGTCTAGCCGCCACCCTGCTCAACAGTCTTACCGTTTCACTTGCTTGTCCAAACACCAACTCTCATGACTCATGCCTGACCGTCGATGTTGACAACGATCTTTCAGGGAAGTTTAAAGTAGACATACTCAGAGGGAGAGATAGGTGGAGAAAACAAAATACAATTCGGCAGCAGGAATTTGTTCCTAAATTATCTTGCAACCCTTGCTAGAAGCTAGCATTTCAAATTACTTTTATTTTTGATTCGATTTACGTGCAAAATAATAATTGATTGCATCGCAATATTTTGCACATTTCTTGGTGCCATTCATTAACCAACGAAGATCAATTAATCAATAGAGTTAGAATATTGTTTTTGGTTCCAAAAACTAGTTGAATTTGAGAAGCACACAAAACATAAAGGTGATTGAATTTCTGTTCGATTGCAATACTCTCAAATTTATTCTAGTAAGAATAAGAAATCCTCGGAAAAATCTAATTGGAATGTTCGATTGGCTTAGATTTTGACAGTTCATTTGACTCAAAACATTCTCTCCGCCCATCTCTTCCTCTGAGTATTTCTAGTTTAAAGGTATTGAAGAATAATTTATTAGTCTTTTTGATTCGGCTTCCAATCTTAAAAAAAAAGTTTTTACAATTTTCTCATCGCCAACGTTTCGATCCAGGGATTTGGATTTTCATCAGGACTAGTTTAAGTTTAAGATCGGAATGCGTGATGATGTTAAACGTAGATACGAAGAGAAAATAAGTGCAATTAATTCGATAGATCCATATTCCATTAAGACGAACGCGGTGGATATTCCGTCAACGGCTACTACCGGCCATGTAGTTCAATACTTAATTAACCACCGATCACCATTTAGCGGAACCCCAGTCAATAGCAGAAACAGTTTAGAAGCCTACACAAAATTTGAATCGGGATATGTTAGTTCCATGGAAGGACATTTTATAAGTTAATGTTTCGTAAAATATGGGCGTATTAACCACTGCAACAACTGTAAACCTTGTTAGGAACAACGATACTCTTGGTCCTGCTTAACACTATTAGCGAATTCGTATATTGTCGTCACCCGACAATATACGAATTCGCTATTAGTGTTTAGCAGGACCAAGAGTATCGAAATCTATCTTTTTGTCAGTGCGAACCTCAACCTGAGCTAGGTTTTAAAAACAAACGAGCAAGCTGACGCTTGTCAGAAACCAAGCAGACCCAATCTTGATACCCGATCCAGGTTGGAACTGAATAATAAACGAATTCGCTATATGTATTCGCAAAAACTATAAGTGATTTTTACTATAATACAAAATATTGTGCAGATTTACACCTACTTGTTGTACAGTGTCTCTTTGTGTAAAATGTAATTGATGGAACACGTTCACAGTAGCCCACCTTACGACGTCAAAATTAGTCGTTGGTCAACAGACCGACGTACGTCTGTTTCCATTTCATCCAAAACAAAAACCTTTAAAAAGCCTTCCTCGCTGCTGAAGAGTTCTTGTCCTTCTTCGCGTTCCAGTCTAGCTTTTTTTTTTTTTTTGACTAGCAGTGTTTTCGATTTCGATTTATCTGCCTCTGGAGGATTCCACGCTGCCCGCACGCCATTTTCTTTCGTTCCATTTGTGAAGCAACCGAAAACCGAAACTCATGTAATACCGAGAACCGATATTATATAAAAAACAAACCAAATAGTGTTATTCTGCTATATTTGAGGGGCTTTAACTCCCGGATAGTTATAGCCTCGATCAAAGCAGATACATTAAACCAGCGAGAAATTATCCCCGTGCTGAATCGACTATAACCACGTGTTGATCTCAGCCTCGAATTCCTCGTACAGTTAAAAAAATAATACCACGCAATATCAGTTCTCATGTTATAAAAATTTCGTAATCACGTTTCGCTTATGAAAACGATTCAAGATGACCTTCCAGGTGCTTCTTCAGTGCGGGCATGGTCGTGAATTTCCTATCGCATCGATGGCATGCCAGTGGCGTTTTCAGTAGATTATCGATGTACTGCTCCGGACGATGTTCGATTTGACCTCGCTCTTCCAGTTCAGCTAGAATGCCTACAAATCATAAGAATAATTAACAAACCGCGCAACTTAATTAACGAACCTTACGCTTACATTCGAATGGCATGAAGAAGCTCGTATGGAAACTGTTCCAGTGCAGCTTGTGCTTCAATCGGTCGGAAACGAAATCCTTGGAAATTACATGCAGATGCAACCGGTGCATGCTGGGCTTCATGTGGAAGCCTATTTTGAAATCGTCCGCTTGACCCCGGCTTAGTTCGATAGCATTCGTTCCGAGCAGGTGCATTTCCTCCAGCAGTGGAATATCTTTGCGGGTTAGCTAGGAAAAATGGGGGGAAATTACGTTAGATTTCGTTTTTTTTTTCTGAGAAAGGACCATCTTACCTGATAAACGGTGTCGATGTCGTTCCAGGGAAGCACCAGAAAGTGATGACGTGACTTGGGGTATTTGTCGCGCATAATAACGGCCAAATCGCTCCGGATGATATGATTGGAAGCGTTTTTCATATCACGGATGAGACTGAAGGACCAGGAACCGCGGCCATCCATTTTTTGAACCGTAGATTTTTCAGATTTATTCAACCGGTGTTTATTTTCGGTCTTCTCGATCGATCGACGGACGATGCTTCGGAAGGTTTTATTCGAGTAGCCTACTTTCTCCGTATATCCCCTTACGCGACAATTGAATCTAACTAATACACATCTAATGGGTAGTTTTGAAATACCGTGTAATTTTGGTGAATTTGAGTGAACGGAGCAACAATAGAAAAAGGCAAATCAGCATTTGTAAACAAAAGGTTTGTAAGCCCTTTCCTCGCAAAGTGTAGGTCGTTCATGCAAACCAATAGCAGAATCAGGTAGGGAAAACTTTTCCCTAACCGATGATGCTGTTGGTTTGTGTGGGCGGCCTACCCTGTGCGAGGAAAGGGCTTACAAACCTTTTGTTTACAAATGCTGATGGGCTCTTTTCCATAGTAGCTCCATTTTGGTTCGTTTACTGATGCGTTTACTCAATCCGAGACTCGATCACAAACACTTGCACGCTATTTTAAAACTGCCCATCAGTCGATCAAAACTGTTCACGGTCATTGCATCTAACTCATGTTTGAGTTCCGTTCACACAAATGTACACTCTACACGGTAAGAAAAAAGTCCCAAAAGTAAATTCTTTTCACTCATCTCGATACTGTACACTATACCAAAACATCATCCTCTGTTCAAATGAAACCTCAGACTATTCAAATCGAAATTACCATATTTAAAAAATACCATGAACGATAATCCAAATGAGCTATTCCACAAATGGTTTGGATGATACTCTGAACACGTCGTTAAACAAAATAACATACCAATTTTATTTGGACTACAGGATGAACTTTAATACGAGAAGCGAACAGGCCTGAAATACATAATGCCACAAACGAAGTGACAGACGACTTACTGGTGAAGAAATCCATTAAAATAATGTGGTTCACTGTAATAGAATTTTCTTGGAAGCTTGTGCCATCCTCCACCAGATGGGTTAGTTTTTTTGTTTTGATTTGAACATAGTTGATTTTGTGTACAATGATTCTTTGACAGAGTGCAAAGAGTGTATCATTTTGTCATTTTTTTTTATGCATTTCAGTTTTGAGTAGAGTGAAAGAGATAGAACCAAAACATTCTAATACATTTGGTGAAAATGCTAGAACAATTCAGCAGTAGTGTTGCCATGTGGTACAATCCAGTAGTAGTGGTGTTGCCATGTGGTACACTGAAAAATTGAAATAGCAGGTTAGTCACCAAAGTTTTCGAGCCGCTCCGTCTGTCACTTCGTTTGTGATAATGCTCGCTGTAGAATGATTGTTATCCCAAATTGAAATGCATATGGTATTGCTTCAGCCCCATAATGCAAATCATCCAAAACGATGATGTAAATAATTCTATCGAACGTATTTTGCTGATCTGAGCTGACAAAAGAGGTTGAAACATAGTCATTAGAGTGATGCAAAATTTTTAATTTTCGCTCCACAGTACTTAAACGATTCCAAATCGGATTCTGACTAACCTCTCAAGGTTTGAACCCATTTGGTGAGAAACTGAGATGGCACAAACCATTTGAAGTTTGTATGGGAATTACTGTGGTAAAACCACGATTTTTGTTCATGTCTATCTAATAATTCACCATATCGATCTGCTTCAAAAGCTTCCAACTGTACTTGTAGGAAATTTTTCCAGCTACAACTTTGTTGAAGACCACTTTCTGATTAAATGCAAGGATGGTTCAATGGTTCAATGCGCTGATGTCTTATGATCATGCTCAATCAACTGCTCAGCAGGCAACATCTGTGTTTCTGGGGCATTGAATAGGACATAAAAATCATGGCTACTATGTCACACTGCAAAATACAGTGTTGCCTACAGAGCAGCTGCTTGATCATGTCATAAGTTTACCAATCTCTTAAATAATTAATAACTTTTTCATGTCTCGTTTTACATAGAAACGAGCTTCAGCAAAGTTGTAGCTGAGAAAATTTTCTATAAGAATGGCTATCGAATTGTTTCGCAGCTCAATATGGAAAAAGACTAGAAGGCAATGAACAAAAAGTTGATATTTCCTATAGTAATTTACATGTAAACTTCAAATAGCTTGTGCGAAGTCTGTTTCCAACCAAATGAATTGTAACTTTGGGTGGCTAATCAGGACCCGATTTAAAACCATTAAGCACTGTGGAGCGAAAAAGTCAAATTTTGCATCAGTCTATTAGTCATCGCCTCGCCATCAGAGGTGGTACGAACATAGGTAAACCGAAGATCGATATAGATATGGAGGAAGTTTCTACTGACAAACGATTTTTGTATCCATGATGGAATGGCTGTTCATGGCTATTCAATATGTAAATGTAAACAATCTAATTATAAACCTAATTTAAAGCATTTGCAAGTCATCCTAGTGCATGCTGCATGTTTTAAGCTAATTTTCAAATAAACATCCTTTAGTTGGATGACAGGAGACAAACAAGTCAAAAGTAGGGGAAAGAAGAAAACGCAACGTATGATTGCTTCCGGTAAGCCCACGAGATTGTTCCACCACGAAATTGAAATACATACCCACTATTGGATGTGCGATCTTGCCTGCATTCTACCCAGTCTGCATCTGCATATCCTTGAAGTCCTGACTTGTTTTTACGAGTACTGAGCAGTGCTGCAAAATCTCGACAATACACGGTGATTTCACAGACAAACAGACATAACTCTCGCAAGTTGTTCATCGAACAAACATTTAAGGGACAATTTAAAAGTATCGTAGTTGGTAGTACCAACCGGTGGAAACTAACGATTTACAATTGGCTCTCTACTTGACTAGCCTATTGGTTCCAAGCAAATCGATTTACGTACCCCATTCTAGTACTACACTATGTTTGTTTTGATTCGCTATGAAAGTTTGACGGATAAAATGAGGGGTTCGTGGATTTTTGTATGTTTCGAGGGGTGCATCGATTAGCTTTGGGACCGAAGAGAGTACCAGAGCTGAGCCAAACAGTTGAGCACGTTCCTTTGGGACCTTCTAGTCTTAGAGTTACCTCTATGGTAGTACCAACAATCAATACGAAACTAACGATTTTAAATTGGCTCACCACTTTAGTAGCCTATTGGTCCCAAGCAAACGATTAACGTACCCTATTCTAGTTGAAATTCTATTACTACACTATGTTTGTTTTGATTCGCTATGAAAGTTTGACAGATAACATCAGGGGTACTGAGTGAGCCAAAAATAATAATGATTTTCTTCGGTACTACACAGCAAAAAAAGTTGTTGAATATTACATCGAAACTGCTGCAACCAGGTCAATCCATCGGTTGTGTAAAATCACATTGTACGATGTACATCGATTTTTCGAACAAAATTACATCCATTGATGTAATATTGTATCTGCGTTTTGCTATTACATGATTATTTCATGCATCAGCTTGAATTACGTTGATCGATATTACATTTTTTTTGCTGTGTACCATAGAGGTAGTACCGCCACCTGTGGCGCGCATAGTCAATTCTCTTCCGTTTGACATTTACACACTACCGCCATCTGTTCAGTGTAGTGTGCCCACCACAGTGTACTCAAAAGATGGCGGTAATGTATTAGCGACGATGTTTTACAGTGAGAAATATCTAATGTGTTATGTCTGTTTGTCTGTGGTGATATTGAAAATTCTGCTTTGGTCATTCATTTGAGCTAACAGTCACAGAACAGTCAACGCAAACCATGTCAATTGTCAATGGCAATGCTGTCAGTGACGAACATATGTATATTTTTATACTAACTAAATTTGTAACGAAATTAAATGACTTGATCAACACTATTACATGGAGCCGTTAATGTGAACAAGCCTCTACGTCCTGAACTGCTTGGATAACAATAATGTAACACAGAATGTACGAAATTACACTTTTTCATTGGCGAAAAAATGAATGAGATTTTGACGAAGGTTTTTTGAGGATCAAGTCTGTCAGCGGCTATGTGACGAACAATTTTGTCAATATCGCACGAAAGTCTGTCAATGACAATGACAAATCTCAGCACTGGTACTGAGACGTAGCTTTAGGTCGCAAGCTCCTTTTAGATACTGATTGATCCTTTTTAGCTCAATCCAGTCGCTCTTAGTAGGTTTGGTGATCTTCCGGCTCATGATGGATAACGAAGCAGCAATATCTGGCCGTGTGTTGACTGCAATGTATAATAGCTGGCCCACCAGTTTTTGATACTGAAAATTGTCCGGTAGCAATTCTTCTTCTGTCTCTTGTTTTCCATATCCTGGATGGTTTTTTTCTTTCCTAGATTTGTTTTCCGTCGATCTTGTTTTCCGTGCTGAGCACCAATGCTACCGACGCCAGGGAGGCAGCTCCCACACCTGGACCCTCTACCTATCGATCCATCAACTCATGAACTGGGGACCGACGGCTTTACTTCCCTTCAGAGATGTTATGCCTCAGAACATCCCGGCGGCGCCGACTGGAATTGAACCCAGGCCTGCTGCCCTTACCACTACACCACCGCTGCCGCTTATATCCAATGGAATCGCTGAAACTGTAGCTTGAATAAGTCCAGATGTCTTTTGGCTTATGTGAAAATCTCCAGCTTCACCACGTTCAACTTCAATCCCGAGATATTTTCGTACATCGCCTAATAGTACGTTCAGACTACAGAGTTATAACATGTTACAACGGTTGTCGAATAGTTGCAACACAGAAACCACCCTCAAGATAGCGCTATAACATGTTATAACTCTGTAGTCTGAACTAGAGTCGGTGTATAATGAGTCACGCCAAGAGTGAAGCCAAGTCTACCTATCGAACCGTCAAACCGGCTACCTATCGGGCAAAGTAAATAAACATTACGATGCTATGAAAGGTCCACGAAAGGTATTGCAATAAAATATAAAATATTATCGAAGAAATGAGCATAAACACGCAGTGAGCTTTAAATTGTCATGGGATACGTTCGGTAATGATCAGTAATGAGAATTTCTACTATTTTTTGTTAAGATAGTTTGACAAAATCACTGATATAATGATTTACTACAGCCGCATTTTTTTTCTCTCGCTAGAAGTCATTTGAAGTTGTTGTAGAAGTCCTCTGTTGCCAAGTGAAAAGAATGGGGATCTTTCGAAAACCGTGATGCGAGTTCAACTGTTTTTCTCTTGGCGTGACTCATTATACACCGACTCTAGTCTGAACAAGGCATAAACTGCTGATTTCAAAATTTCTTGAATGCGCGCATGCTAAAGCAGTGATTATTCGTCCATCTTCACTAGTAACGATGAGATCATCTACATATACTAAGACATAGTACAAATGTACAAACATGGGTCTGCATCATATAGCTTGAATCCGTTCGCCTCCAGTATACCTAGTATGCAATAGATGATTCCACGATCGAGCCGCTTGCTTAAGACCATAGAGACTTTTCTTCAAACGGCATACCTTGCTTTCTTGTCCATTAACTGCCAAACCTGGAAGCTGCCTCATAAAAACCTCCTCATTAAGGGTGCCTTGTAGGAATGCCGTTTTCACATCGTATTGCTTCACAACCATTCCTCGTTTTGCTGCTACTGACATTAGGGTCCTAAAAGTGGTTTGACGCGGCACGGGAGCAAATACTTCATCATAGTTTGTTCCGTATCGCTGACCGAATCCCTGAGCTACCAACCGTGCTTTGAATCTGGAAAAGTTGCCTGCCGCATCTTGTTTCAGCTTGTAAACCCATTTGCAACCAACTGCACATCTTCCCGGGGGTAAGTCAATTAAATCCCACGTGTCGTTAGACTCAATTGCTTCCTACTCTTGCAACATGGCCTTCTGACATTGCACGCTTTCTGCGCTTGCCAATGCTTCTTTAAGTTTTTTTGGTTCTTGCGCTTGCGCCTCTGCTGTACACACATACCGCCACGGGTAATCCTTATCGATCATCTGGTACTAGCTATATCCTCGTTGGCGTGCGAACTAGCTTCATGTCCTGTATCATCTTAACGCAGTTCGACTTCTGGATCATCCCAAATTTCATCATCGGATTCGTCCTCATCGGTTTTACAGGTACCAAGATCAACAGGATCGTCCTTCGGATGGTTCGTGAATGAGACGACGACCACTTCATCAACATTACGCTGCATTATAGATCCTATTGTCCTGCAAGGTGGGCGATTCTGCAGGTAATTCACCGTTGAAACAGCTTCTCCCCAGTAACTATTATCCAAACCAGCATCAATGAGCATACATCTGGCCATTTACACGAGGTAACGTTTTTACGCTCCACCACAACGTTCAGCTGAGGAGATTACAGCACTGTTAGTTGTCCAATTAGGCGCTTCCGTGTTAGGAAAGTTTTGAATTCTTTCCACCTGGATCAGATCACAAAACTTTCGGTTTTCTTCCAAATTGTGTTTTGGCCATTTCAACGAATTCTTCTAGAATCTCCATGATGAGTTTCTGGTAGGGAACATAAGATTTGAAGTTTGGGTTGTGTCGTTTGACGTGTAAACGATCAAATTTGAACGTTTACACGTCAAACGACACAACCCAAACGTCAAATCATATGTTCCCTACCAAAAACTCAGCCAGATTGTGGCGGCCATAAGCGCTCGTAAAATGCTGGATAGTCATCCGTGAATGTCAGGAGGTACCTTCTGCGTCCAACGGTTGCTGTTCACAGTGGTCCAAAAATGTCTGTGTGAACCAAATCACTTCTGTTGACTTACTTTCAAACAAACTTCACACAAATCTTCACACTTTCAATTCTTCATTTGGATTCCGGTCACTAGTTTTCCCAACTTCAGAACAGCATCACAATCTCTGTGGCCTAGTCTTCGCTGCCACACATGAACGCAATCAACAGGAGACGTCGCCAAAGCAGCCTTTTCGTCATATTGTCGCAACACCATATTGTCGTAACACCAAAATTTCTGATGTATACACCATGTTACGTTGCTTAAATACAACTAAATCATAATGTTTTCTAATGTTTGACATCAGGCATACATTTGATTTCGATGCTGATGTAGACATCAAAATCAAACGTTGGGCTAATGTAAATTTCTATTCGGGAGGTTCCCAGAAAGCTCAGCCACATTTCCAGCTCGATGAATCTTCGCTCCATGTTTGTCGAACGTGATCTAGAAATTCTTCTATACCAAACGCCAATTGACTGACAGTAAGTATTATTTCATGTCCGAAACAAACAGACGGCATCTAGAGTAATCAAATGACGATTGCCTTCACCGTTTATCACGAACATTTTACCGGTACCACGACCTTTGGATCTTGATCTCATCCCGTTGGCCACCCAGACGTTTTCCTGGATACTTCCGCCCAACTCTTGAAACACTTCACGATATGGCACGTTGCCCGGAATCCACCCAACAAACAATTTGAACTGATTAAAAGCTGAATAAGCTAAAAAATTGCTGAAGAAGGTGAGTTTTGCATGAACAAGCTCTTGTGCAACTTTCAATGTTTGTTGGGCAGTATTTACTGCCTATTCGAAATCGAAGAGCTTCCGGTTAAAAACGCCTAGTTCTTCGGTTCTTGATCTTGCTGCGTAACAACATTTGCATTTTCCTTCTTATTCACCGTGCTTCAAATTTTAGGCTTTCCACTTCTTGAACTTCTCACATTTGGCTTTGTGATGTCCAATTTGCTTGTAGAAATAACACGTTTGTACCTCCATTGATCCAGCCTGCAAGATCGTCTCCGAATCTTCAGCTTCAAAATCCTACGCTTTCTGCCATTCGTCTGAAAAATTACCATATTCAATGTAAGGTCTTCGTCCGGTCTTGCTTCTAAAGCTGTCACGAGCGTTTCATATTCCTCTGGCAAACTGCTGAATAATAATGCCATTGGGCATCAATAATCTTGTTCGGTTTCAAATCATTCTGCTTCTCAAATAATTCGGTAAGCTTCGCGATGTGGACTTCTATGTCTTCACATTTTTCTAGACGCAACTGACAAATCTTCCGCATAACGGTCACCTTTCCACGCTTCACTTCCAGACTTGACCTTTCTAATGTGAATAAGTTGATTGTCTTCGGCAAATACATAAAATTAATTAAAACAATAAATACCGATAAATATCTTTGATAACAATTAGTTTAAAAACAATCTGGCAACGCTGTAGCTAGTGGAAGGTCGTCTCATAACTGCTCGACACACTACACGGCCGATGAGATCAACTCATAATGGACAACGTCGTCAAGCATTTTATCATGACTTTCTACCATCGATTTAACAAAACTGGCCCAACAAATCTATACAGAGCTGGAAAAAGGGCCTATCTGCTTTGATCGATTCTCTTCATCGACTTTCTCTTTTGATAACCACGGCTATGCAAACAGTTTTCGTGCTATTTTTGCCCCATAGCATGATAAAGGAGGTTTTTATCTATCGTCCAAATCGTCAAATACAACAGAGAATGTTGTGACAGCTGAGTTATTAACGAAAGAGAAAGTCGATGAAGAGAATCGATCAAAGCAGATAGGCCCTTTTTCCAGCTCTGTATAGATTTGTTGGGCCAGTTTTGTTAAATCGATGGTAGAAAGTCATGATAAAATGCTTGACGACGTTGTCCATTATGAGTTGATCTCATCGGCCGTGTACGAATAAACTACACGCTAAGAACAGATAACCCAAATGTAGGTTTGGTATGAACTAGAGTCGGTGTATAATGAGTCACGCCAAGAGTGAAGCCAAGTCTACCTATTGAACTGTCAAACCGGCTTCCTATCGTGCAAAGTAAATAAACATTACGATGCTATGAAAGGTCCACGAAAGGTATTGCAATAAAATATAAAATATAATCGAAGAAATGAGCATAAACACGCAGTGAGCGTTAAATTGTCATGGGATACGCTCGGTAATGATTAGTAATGAGAATTTCTACTATTTTTTGTTAAGATAATTTGACAAAATCACTGATATAATGATTTACTACAGTCGCAATATTTTTTCTCTCGCTAGAAGTCATTTGAAGTTGATGTAGAAGTCCTCTGTTGCCAAGTGAAAAGAAAGGGAATTCTTCGAAAACCGTGATGCGGGTTCAACTGTTTTTCTCTTGGCGTGACTCATTATACACCGACTCTAGTATGAACTAAACCGGATAAGGGTAAATTTCTAACCCAATCTTGGGAAACCAAACCTACATTTGGGTTATCTGTTCTTAACGTGACGTTTTTGGGAACTTGAGTGACCGAAACTCTAATTTGAGTGGTTTAATCGGCCGTGCATGTACACAATTGCATATGCGTAGGCGAAACGTATACGAAAGAGAACTTTTTTCATTATTAAATTTTATACAAAATGTTCTACTCTCAAATCATACGAACATTTTATTTTCTTTCTACATAAAAATGATTCCAGCGGTTTACAGTATACGCAATACTTTCTCTAACTTCACCTTCCATAGTTGATATCCTAAATTCGCATGGCTATTATTACATTTTTTTTAGACTAGAGGAACTAACAGCGAAAACAAAACAGTGATCTTAGCGCAGCCCTTGATTTAACCCATTTGATTACCTACAGCTCTTTCGAAATCTCCACTCAATAAAAACTAGTTCAACTTATTCTCAAAGATGGCAAACAAGACGTCATTAGTTGGAAAACTACTCTCCTATACAGAATATCCCTCAAAGTCACACATCCCCCGCCCAGAAGAGATTGTTCGCATACCAACTCGGGGTGGCAAGCGTCGGTAGCAGCACTATCCATCCCACCAGTCCCAGGACGTACAAACCGATGAAGATAGCCTTCCGGCGTTTCGACTGATTAAGCACCTCCTGAAAGTCCGGAAAGCCCATATGGTTGCAGAAGGCATGGGCCACGAACGGAGCCGCAAAGTGGCCGGTTCGCACGAAGAGATACGCCGAATAGATACCGAAGATGGTGGTGTAGAAAAATTGGAAGAACGACACCGTAAGGACAATCCTGAGTGGGGTTCCATCCCGGAGGCGTTCTTTTATGTGATGAAGGTGGGCTAAAAATGAAAATTGGTTATCAGCCGGCTTCCTAGCGTCAGCGAAACCGCAAATAACTTACCCAGTCCGAACAGAAGCGGAGTGATGAGCATGGCCGTGTGTGGTTGGAAAGTCTGTAGCAGCAGTGGCAGCATACAGGCACGGAAGGTAAATTCCTCTGAGAGAGGTGCTACCAGATGGTTCCGTAGCCACTTCAAATTCTGAACCGCATTGACCCAGTACATCGGTTCGGAATAGACTCGCCAAAGACCATTGGTTAACGTTCCACTCAGAGGACCAAGAAACAGCACCGCGGTCAGCACCAGTGGCAGAAATATACCCGTTAGCAGTCCTTCCAGCCGGAATCCCATAATCTCCCACATCGTATACTTCTGGAACACGGCGTCACTGGACAAGGTCATGACGAAGATCGGTGCAATTAGCATCACCACGAATACGCTGAAAAAGCGTCTCTTGATCGTTGACGGGTGGTCACTGAAAACCGCACAAATAAATGAATCCTTAAATTCCCAACAGCTGTTCGTTTCTGTTTTCCTACATACCGATCATGTTTCGACTGCCACACGTACAAGCTGGCCACGTAGATGACGGAAATGGCAAAACAGGCTCCCACCGACACCAGCGCCGAGAGATGAATTTCCGCCACCGGTGGGAATCCACCCTCCTCCGCTGACTTATCGTCGTACGCTTCCAGCGCTGGTTGCTGCTGCGGTTCGCTCTGCCGCCCTGCTTCTTCACCCATCCTGGAAGCGATCCAGATGCGGGCAAACAAATTCCAGTTCGCTATCAGGTACACTAGTTTATCCACCTTGACGGTTTCATCCGGCAGTCGGTTCGTGACTTATGGAAGAAGGCTATTGCTGAAGCACACTTGAAAATTTAATTGTAATTCCTTATTTTTAATTTAATTCCTGAAGCTGTAAAGGCAGAACAGATGCGTCTGATCCCGATGAGAGCTCTGTTGGGTGGAATGAAGAAAATCGCGTTCGACTCACTCAAAACAAAACAGAAGCGGATGAGCGAAGAAAGGGGGAGCAGCGATGTTTTGACGTTTCACATTGGTTCGGTGCTTCGTGGGATTGTGGGTGTAGTAGAATAAGAGCCCAGCTCTGTTTTGATTCTAGTAGATTGAACCGGTTCGGGAGAACAGCACACTGGACAAAATTAGAGTCGGTGTATAATGAGTCACGCCAAGCGTGAAGCCAAGTCTACCTATTGAACTGTCAAACCGGCTACCTATCGTGCAAAGTAAACAAGCATTACGATGCTATGAAAGGTCCACGAAAGGTATTGCAATTAAAAATAAAATATAATCAAAGAAATGATCATATACACGCAGTGAGCATTACATTTGTCATGCGATACGTTTTGTAATGATCAGTAATGAAAATTTCTACTATTTTTCTTTAAGATATTCGACAAAATCACTGATACAATGGTTTACTACAGCCGTTAATTTTTTTTCCTCGCTAGAAGTCATTTGAAGTTGATGCATGACTCGTCTAATTTTGCATAGCATTTGCAATGTAAAATTAGACGAATTATACGTTGTATTCGGGGTACTCGTATACAACGTATATTCGTTATAAGTCAGGTGACACAGTAGTATTAAACTGTTAGTTTTGATTCGCTATGAAAGTTTGACAGATAAAATGAGGGGTTCGTGGATTTTCCTATGTTTCGAGGGGTGCATCGATTAGCTTGGTACCGAAGAGAGTACCAGCATAGAGGTAACTCTAAGACTAGAAGGTCCCGAAGAAACGTGCTCAACTTTTTGGCTCAGCTCTGGTACTCTCTTCGGTCCCAAGCTAATCGATTCACCCCTCGAAACATAGGAAAATCCACTAACCCCTCATTTTATCTGTCAAACTTTCATAGCGAATCAAAACAAATATTGTGTAGTACTAGAATTTCGACTATAATGGAGTACGATAAACGATTTGCTTGGGACCAATAGGCTAGTGAAGTAGTGAGCCAATTTAAATTCATGATAAATAATTAATAACTATTTCCTGTCTCGTTTTACATAGAAACGATTTTGAGCAAAGTTGTAGATGATAAAATTTTCTATAAGAATAGCTATCGAGCTGTTTTGCAGCTCAATATGGAAAAAGACTAGAAGGCAATGAACAAAAAGTTTAGATTTCCCATAGTAATTTACATGTAAACTTCAAATGGTTTGTGCGAAGTCTGTTTCTAACCAAATGAGTTGTAACTTTTGGAGGCTAATCACGACCCGATTTGAAACCATTTAAGCACTGTGGAGCGAAAAAGTGAAATTTTGCATCAGTCTATTGACCACTTTGTCAAGCAGTTTTAGCAACAATCATTACGAAACTAACGATTTTAAAATGGCTCACTACTTGACTAGCCTATTGGTCCCAAGTAAACGATTAACGTACCCCATTCTAGTCGAAATTCTAGTACTACGCAATGTTTGTTTTGATTCGCTATGAAAGTTTGACAGATAAAATGAGGGGTTATTGGTTTTTCCTATGTTTCGAGGGGTGAATCGATTAGCTTGGGACCGAAGAGAGTACCAGAGCTGAGCCAAAAAGTTGAGCACGTTTCTTCGGGACCTTCTGGTCTTAGAGTTACCTCTATGGTTTTAGCGTGACTTTCTACCAGCTATTTCACAAAACTGGACCGAATAATTTCTATTTTTTTATGAAACGCACAAATGTTGGCTATTATTCTCGAGGTTCTAGAAGAAAAAATCTCAAAATAATGTTTGTGGTCAAAGTTCGAGTGGTAGTAAACGTCATTTTAAGTGCTCGAATAAAGTGGTTAATTAACCACTTCATTCGAGCACTTAAAATGACGTTTACTACCACTTGAACTTCGAAATAAAACATTATTATGAGATTTTTTCTTCTAGAACCACGAGAGAAGTAGCCATCATTTGTGCGTTTCATAAAATAATAGAAATTAGTTGGTCCAGTTTTGTGGAATCGCTGGTAGAAAGTCACGCCAAAACTGCTTGACAAAGTGGTTAATTGGGTGACACGCTCTCTCTCTCTTTCCACTTTCCGAAAGACACAGTTTGATTCTGACCAGTTTCTGCTCCCAAAATTCCCTCTGTTCATCGGGTTGCATCAACGACCTCGGCGACTAACTAGACCAGTCGAAATGTCACCACAGCAGATGACCGCGATACGCCATCTTTTTCTGCCACCCGACGCTCCGTCTCGTTTTTTCTGCAACACTTTTCGGGTCTGCCTCACCAGTCAGCCAGCCAGTCAGTCAGCCAGTCAGCCAAGAAGAGGAGAAAGGAAGGAAAGGAAAATTCTCGCGACGTCTGCCATCAAGAAGAGATCTGGGCAAAGAGATTGAATTTTTCACGCGTAAAATTTCCTGTGTTGCAAGTGACGAAACCTGCCAGAAAGTAGTGCAAAGTGTGCCCGGAACCCGGAACCACCGGTGGAAAGTCGATTCGGCGGGCGAAGCGTGCGGCCAGCTGGATTATTTTCATCCAAGGGGTTCGCAAATTTCGCTGTTCCGAGTGTATGGTCGCCAGGAGAAAAATGTGTAAGTTTTCTTTTTCACTTGGACGGTCATTTTTGCAGTGTTCTTCTTTTTCCACCCGTCGCAAGGGTTGCCAGATGATTGAGCGGGGGGTTTAGTGGGTTTTTGTTTACATGTTTCCTGGTGGTGGTTTTTCGCTGATTGGGGTCAGAGAAAATTCATGTTTGGGGCATTTTTAACTTCCATGTACTTAGCTCTTCAAAGAGTGCTATCGTGTCATGGACGTAGAATGAATAATCGGATTCTGACCAAAACTGTAGTTTCCCGGAAATTGAATTCCCCTGGCAACTCTGCGTGACACATACTCGGAATCGGATTTTCGATGATGGTGGAATCGTTCTTTGACAGCCAGGAGCAGGTTTCTTTATTTTCCCCAGTTAGTTTTTGTGGAAAATTCGAATGGCGGATGTTGGAAACATCTGCTAATTCGGGCCGAGGCTGAAAATTTGCTATCCGATTTCGCAGAATTTTGTCATCACTGAATTAATCATCTGATTTTGATTGTTTTTTTTTTCTGGTTTTTACATGTTACGAAAACACTCGATCTACGCAACAAATCAGGAAGAGGATACGTCTGCAGATTTTCAATTTCAAGGAGGAAGTGACTATTTCTAACTTTGTGGAGGAGTGAAGAGAGTGTGTGTGGTGCGAGAAGCAAACCGCAAGCAGGAGGGCGTATTTTTCCACCTTCGTGTGGTGCAACCGTGTTTGGTAGGAGGCTGTTGGTGGGGATCCACTAGCAATGGCCACCGGTGATGACCAGTGGCTGAAAGAGGATGGCTATCTGAACGTTGACGCCGAATCGGTCCGGATCGTGTATCACCCGTTCCTGAATGTGATCCTGGTGTTCACCCGGGAGGGTGAAGTCAAAGTGCTGGATGTGAACTCGGGAGTGATCCTGCAGAGCTACCGTGTTTCCGGTGAGTAACTAGTTGCTTCAATTTGAATTCAACACCATTTTCCGGAAGGTCGACGGCATTTATAAATAGGATTTTTATAAAACACATCTTTGAAGTTTGAACAACACTTTGTAGACGGTGATCGTAAAGTATCTAGTCCAATACATCTTACAGACATTGTTCAAAAAAGAGATTCGCCATGAAATGCTTGTGTTTGTGTAGTCTGAGTGCCTTCCAACAAGGAACTACCAGAGTTTGCAAATAACAGCTTGTTCCGATATCGGAATAAGTAGGTCAGTGATGGAAAAGATCGCGAAAACTCACTACGGGGGGCGAAATTGTTCTATGCTGAAGTAGGTCCATCATTGGAAAGAAAAAAAGTCAACAGTTTCCTGCAGACTGGACCTACGAAAATGCTGACAAACATAATTTGGTTCATGAGGTAGATGTAAGATTTTGGGGAAACTGAAGATCCAAATTCGGATTATCGAGGATCATCAAAGCGTGTCACGGAGGGAAGTGATCAAAATCAACGACACGAGTTTTATGTTGTACAATATTTGAACGATCGCAATAGACTCGATGTCATCTAATGCCAGACAGAGACGATGTTAGCTGAGATCCTTAAGATGCGTTTGAATAGAATAAGACTGGAGATGCTACACCGTAGCGGCAATTCTGCGTAGATGGGGAGTTCTAATAGGATGATGGCAAAACAGCTTACGGTGCCAAACATAACTAACAACATATCAATGTTTGACTATCGAAAAGTTCTAACTGAAATATTCGAAAGCCATTTCTCTCTTTTGAAGCTGATCCCTTCTTTGACAAATAAATGTGGGTTACTTGGCCCCCTAATCGCCAAATATAGGGCGATTAACGGGCAGCTAGCTAGCCGTTCGACACCGTCCAAGTACATCTTGAACGGTGGAATTAATATCTGATGATAGTTGATAGTTGAGGTCTTAGACATCTCTTTCCAAATGTTATTTGTTTTTTCGCCTGAAACTTGAATTAAAATTTGATCTAATCGAAATCGAAATGACTTTTTGTCCCTCCGAACTTAAGTTCTTAAATTCTTTATTAATCAACAAATAACATACTAAGATGCTTGTTTTGATGTAACTTGAATACTCCAATTGATTTCATTTTGGTTGACTTAAATTAGAGCAAAATTTTACACTGTTGAATCAAACGAAAAACTAATCCTGCTTTCAATGTAATCAATTTGATTACTTATTCTGAAGTCATAATATTTAACTGAATACGGACCTGGCGTATGGTCAGCATACCGATTTGCTTTAGTTTTGTTAACCGACTTTGCTGGGGAAGCCTACACTCCAAGACTGACTAACATTTTCGTCGATTTTCATAATCTTCGAGCAGATTTTTGAGGAAAAGCAAGGAAAATTTTACGCAGTCTATATGAGTAACCTATGTTTTTGGGATTTTGAGTCGATCTCATCGGCCCCATTTGAACTGCCCCTTTTCAGAGGTGAAACACTTAACTTAACAAGCTAATATCTTCCTTAGTCCAAGATTGAAAATCTTAAAAGATAAGTCTCAGGCAGACTCAACCATTTACAAAGTTCTGAGGTGGTTCAACCGCTCAGACTTACAATGGGGTTCAATTCGTGCCGTGTAAGTTAGACTTGCGCGTTTGAAGAGTTTCCTGTGACCTGGATCTTAATTTTTTTCGAGCCGAGTCTCAAAATTTCTATGTCGGGAATATTGACATATTTTCAACGTTTGAAATTACTAGGTGATTTCTGGAACATAACCCAAGTAACAATTTTGGATGTATGAGGCTTCTGTAGACCAGGATTTAGACTTGTAGAATGCTTTAAAAACCTCTATAAAACTTGCAATATTACCTGGGAGCTCATCATGTTCTTCTTCTTCTTCTTCTTCTTCTTCGCATTTCAAGCTTATTGCATATCGCATATTAGCTTATTGCGTGCTCTCAACTTAGTGTTCTAGATGCACTTCCACAGTTATTAATTGAGAGCTTTCGATGCCTGTACCATTTTTGCATTAGTATAATTGTGTGGCAAGTCCAATCATACTTGTATGCCCAAGGAAGTCGAGAAATTTTCCAACCCGAAAAATTCCTAGACCGGACTGGGAATCAAACCCAGCCACCTCCAGCATGGTCTTGCTTTGTAGCTGCGCCTTTACCAACAGAGCTAAGGGAGGCCCCATCATAGCTCATCATAGGATATGTATGGAAGTTAGTGAAGAATTTCCTTGGGGAAAGACAGCTTTTGATCATGAGTAAAATCGGAGTTAATTTTGAGTAACTCGCGTTGCTCAACATCAATGCAGTCTGATTGATTACACATTGCCACCGATACTGTCAAGCAAAGCAAATTTACGTATTTCAACAACATTTTAAACGGTGCGCTTGAAATGCTTAACCGCGAAGATATTTCGGCGATGGAAGGGCAATTTTACTTTCGTACTGCACGTGTACGAAGGAACTACAAGCTGCCCTCTCAAAATCGATGGAAGATTTTTATGGTGACTCTACGGAACAGTCAGATATGTTTTGCTTTGTTGATGACGTTCGAGTACTGTAAATATTAGCAACCGCATAGTACGGATTCTAGTGGACAATCCCACGGAGGATTCATGACAATCCCAGGGGGGATTCTGTAAAATCCCTGGGAGGATTCCAGTCAATTACAGTGGGGATTTATGACAGTCTAAGTAGATATTCCGAACAAGCCTAGGGGGCGGCTTCCCAACAGTATCAAAGGGGACTTCGGACAATCCAAAGAGGGAGTATGAATTATCCCAGGAAGGATTTCACTCAATATTGAGGAGGATTCATGACAGTCCAGGGGGATTCCAAACATTCCCATGAGCGATGATTCCAGTCAATCCGAAGGGGCACGGAAAAAGTTTCGAGCGTGACAACACGTGTTTTTTCAAGCTAAGTGAATTTTTTCAAGTATTTGCGGATAATTTACGAATTTCGATTCAAGTGTTGAGAAATTGACAGACGTTTATTTTTGGAAGTAATTGTTTTACTGCGGAAGTGCTAAATAGAGTCGGAGAAGAGATTTGTTGGTGGAAAAGGTGTACAAAAGCGGTACCGCCATATTGGAGGACGCCATGGCCAAGGTTGCAAAGACTCATTTCAGCTAAAATAATGTTTTTCGGAATAATAAAACCAAAAGATGGTATGATGGCATGTTTTACTTGTAACTTACAAGAAGAGGTTACAAAGTATGCGTTGGAAACATAAAACCTGTAAATTTTGCTTTCTATGAGTCACAATCAGCGATTTGCTGATCGCTGAGTGAGTGAGTGAGTTTGTGAAAAATCGCTGATTGTGACTCTCATGAAGTGAAATTAACAGGTTTAATATGTCAAACACATTCTTTGCAACCTCTTCTTGTATCCTACCAATTCAAAATATGATCATGGCATCTAATTATTTCATAATTTAGAAAAACATTGTTTTAGCTGAAATGAGTCTTTGCAACCTTGGCCATGGCATAACCTCATATAATGGCAAAGCAACAAAGAAAAGCCCGGATCCTCGCGGGAAAAAGTATGAGATATGTGAATATAACCACACCGACAATGCCCCATATCGGATTATTGCCGAACTCGAAGATGACCAAGGAACCTGCAAAATTAACAAACTGACGCTAGGAAAGATACTTTCCGCAACAACAGAATACAAAAACAATGTCACCAACATGAGACCCCTGGGACAAAAGAAAGTGTTGATTTTCGTTAAGAATTTTGAAGTGGCCAACAGAATGCAGAAAGACGAGAAGTTGAAGGAACAAAACTACAAGCTGTATGTTCCCAGAAGCTTCATTTCAGTCACTGGAGTTGTGGCTGGAGTGCCTACCGATATGACCGTAAAGGAAATCAAGGAAAACATGCAATGTCTAGTTCCAATCTTGGATGTCAATCGGCTTCACCGCTTCGTCGACAATGTAAAGACTGCTAGCAACAGGATCAGTGTTACTTTCAGAACAAGTAAGCTGCCAGAGGAGGTCAAGCTTTACTGCTGCCTTAACAAGGTGATGGCGTTCATTAACAAACCGGTTATCTGTCACAACTGTCTCCGATACGGACACAAGACAGACTCTTGCCGATCGAAAAAGCGATGCACGGTGTGTGCACTTCAACATGAAGGAATGGACAGTGGAGACTATCCAAACCCAAAGAAGTGTATGTACTGCAAGAAGGCACACAGAACAACGGACAGTGAATGTCCAGAATGGTCAAGGCAAAGGAACATCAAAACCATCATGTCCAAGACGAACTTGACATACATGGAGGCGCGGGAACTCAATCCAATCCAATCGATACGAAATACTCGAAAACGTGGAAGAATTCCCGACACCCGCAGACAGTTTCGCTGATATGGTTGCAGGCAACTTCAAGACTAAGAATCCACATCAGTATCGAAAGGAGAGGAACAAGCGAACACTACAACAGTAGGATGTCAACATCGCGGATAAAGTTCAAGTATTTGCTGACAATAAGAAGAAGACGGATCAGGAAGGAGAGAAGAATGGCGTAGCTCTATTTAACAAGTATCGTGTGACGGACTTCGACCGCTGGGCTCAGAAATTCGAACAACTTCGTCAACAGAACATAACTCAACAGCTCGGTGCAACCGGAATGGACGTAGCAGAATCCAATAATGAAACAATCAACAAGTGTAACATGCCCAGCAGCTCCCAAACTGGAAAGCTGATGGGTTGGCCGGACTTCATACACGAAACGGATAATGTGAAACCGTGAGTAGTAACGTAATGATCAACGAACTTAGAATATTCCAATGTAACATACAAAGTTTACAAAAAAATAAGGAAGAACTATCTAGAATTCTCATACAAGATCAATATCATGTAGCGTTAATATCAGAAACATGGAGTAAAAAGGAACTGGAAGATACAAAGTACAAAATATCTAACTTTTATACGTATTTAGACTCTAGAGCAGACGGAAAAGGTGGTGTAGCCATCATTATCAACAACAAATATAAATCA